TAGTGAACAGTTGTTTTGCAGCTGCCACTCTTCATAAATTTTTTTAATGCAGAATTACTTTACTTTATCCCTGTGGAAACTATGAAGTTAAAATATACTGTCGCTGCCCCAAGAGGTAAAAAGGCAAATGGTGTGTGTGCATGTGTGCGTGCGCATTTTCTCCTGTGTATTAATTGGATAGCTCGTGACTACTTAGACTTCACCCATGGAAATATAGAAAGCGTCTCATTTTGTTGGTTAAATTCCAAGCGTAACCATAGCAATAGCTTGAAAATTGAGTTCTGTTCAAAATTTAGGCACTTGTTGATTTTAAGCAGATGAGTGCCCTGTTTCAGAAAACTTTTGTGTATAAAATAAACACACTGGTTATTTTGAGTACCTACAGAGCTAGTTGTTCAAAAAACAATTTCAGTAGCACTTCTTTTAAGGAAGTATTTGCAATTTATAGCTTCATAATAGATCACTACTTTACCTGATGCAATTGTTGGCACTTCTGGCTATTCTGAATCATCCAAGCAAATTGCTCTCCTTTGATCTATTAACATAGAGTATGGCTGTCTGAGAGGAAATCTCATTAGCTTTATTGAGTTAAGTGGTTAAATCCCCATGCATCACAATAATTTAACCCTAACATATCCTAAGTAGTCTACCAAGACTTCCATCTCAACTTTAGAAGTTGTGTAGATGGTAACAAATATTCCAGTTTAAAAACTGAGCTAAGTTTGTTTTTGTTTTTTGTTTTTTATGAAATATCAGCTGTTATTTCGCCACTTTCAGCAACGAGATGATTTGTATTCCTCCCACTCTGTGTGTGTTTAAAAAAAAATGTTATCTGACCTGGAAAGAGATGTTGCAGACTATTAGAAAAGTGGTTAACCAGTTACACGTCACCTTTATCCAGTGTTGCTTAACTGGGTAACTAGTTAACCTGCCACATAGATAGGAGGCTACTCCAGTCCAAGTGGGCCCACTGCACCGCAGGCAGGGACTGCTTCACAGGATCCCATTGAAACGTAATGTTTACCAGTTAACTTTTCAAACAGGATTTTACATCCTTACAGACGACCCTGCTAAGATGAGGATGGTGCCTTGTAGGCGATGGATTTGCTGTGTAGCTCAAAGTCTGGTATATTACACAATAATGCTGCCAGTCTGGGCCAAAACATCTGACTAGTGGAAAGACTTGGCTATGTACCAGGCTATTCAGGAATAGCCAAGCAGGTGCCTATTCAAGGAATTGGGACTTTAGATTCCTACTGGCATTATCAAGGCCCATGACTTGAATGCAGAAGCCTCATTGCGATATTGGTTTTCAAAGAGAAATATAGCACATAAAAGAATTTTGACAAAGGGGTGCACTTCAGTTGAAGAAAGGGTTGCTCTCCCAGGCACAAATAGAGGAGGAGAGGAAACTGGAATGAGTTGAATATCTGGTATTCACAAGGCATCCCATTAATTTTTTTTTAACATTTTCTTTTATTTGGTTTTCTCTGCAGTTTGGTAACCTTCTATTTAACGGCAGCACTTCTAAACATAGTGACAGGATTCTAGCACCTGCTAGCCAGCGCACAGATGTAGCACTGCTTTGCTAGCTCATCCTGGCAACCAAACTGGGTGCATCTTCTAGCCTGTGCTAAAGTATAACAGAGTTGAGCCTTGCTTAGGGCAAAGTGTTTAAGAATCAGGAACGGAGATGAGCTCCAGAGAACAACTCAAGCGCATCTTACAAAGAATCTGAGGATGCGGCTCTTTTTGTTTGTGAATAATGAAGAAAAATCCTAGGAAGGGTGTATATTCAGGCCACTTTGTTCATCAGTTTTTGTGGGTTACCTATTAGGAGCGGGATGGAAACAATATTTGTCTTAGGTTTTTTTGGTTTATAATTTATCATATTACAACAAAAAGTTAAGTATGCTTGACATAAGATCACCATGTCACCATTAGGGATCCACCAGACACTGTAGCTAGTAATAAAGTATGATTTAGTAAGTAAAGTTTAATTTATGATGTGTTAACACCAGTCTCATTGCCATTAAATTACTCTAATGCATATTACAATATTAGCATAAATGGTCCACTTTGAATCTCAGACTAAGTTCATTCTTTGGCTTGTCATAGTGCAGTTTATGATTGACTCTTGGGATGTAAATACTGTAATCACCTGTGGTTCATTGTTAAAATAACTATGTATGTTTAATACCTTTTCACTGAAGAATTTGTAACTGCTTTACAAAAACTTAATCCCTCAGTACTCCTGAGAGTTGTGGAAGGATAGAGTTGTGAATGTTTAGTCAACTAATTGACTATCTGATAGGTAAATGCTTATCAGATCGTCAGCATGCTAGTTGACTAGTCACTTCCCTCCCTACCTTGCTGCCTCTATCAGAAAGAGGCAGCAAGGGCAGGGGGAGGCAAAGGGGTGCTTCAAAGTGTCAGCATCCGGGCTCCATGCTGTGCTGCCACTTTGAAATGCCATGTACAGCCCGGGCAGCTGGCCTGGGCTGCACGCAGTGTTTCAAAGTGGCAGCACTGTGTGGAGCCCAGGGTCTGCCGCTTTGAAACACCGCATGAAGCCAGGAGCCAGCCAGGGACTGGACTCTCAGCTGGCCTTGGGCTCCCCGTGGCGCTTCAAAGCAGCAGCGCCACATTGAGCCTGGGGTCACCTGGGAATTCGGAGTCCCCAGCTGACCCTGGTCTACATGCTGCGCTACTGCTTTGAAATGCTGCAAGGGAGCACAGGGACAGTGGGAGACTGCTTGAGCTCCCTGCTGGCTGTTGCTACAAAGATGGAGCCTTATCTACTGATCGAATAGTCAATGCAAATTGCATCAACTATTGAGTTAGCCAGTTAATCTAAATTTAATATCCCTAGAAGGAGAAGTAAATATCACAAACAGGCATCAGAAACTAACCTGCTCAAAGAGATATATAATGGTAGAACTGAAAGAGAAAAATCCTGGAGTTCTGATTCCTAGTCCCCCTGCTTTAACCATTCAGTATAGTTAATTGTGTATTACTTAATGGGTTTTCAATAAAATATCATATTTACTAGGATATCTGGTTCTAGCACTTGCCCTTGGATTACAAATTTTTGATTAAATCGCTAATTCAAGCCTCAGGCTATCGCTTGGATTTCTACCAAATGCTGCTGATGAAGCAGTGTTGGATTTTGGGACAGGAATTGATGGGGAAAGGCGATTCATAGCTTCCAAGGTTAGAAAAGATCATTTGTCTGACCTCCGGTACTCCTCAGGCTGTGTAATACACCTTACAATAATTCCAGAACACATATTTTAGAAAACCATCGAATCGCGGTTATCAGTTATCAGTAAAGTTATCAGTAAAGGAGACTCCACACACTAAAACTTGGCAAGTTTTTCCAGTGGCTTGGTAATGCCAGTGTTGCTATTGCCCTCGTTTAACTGAGATTGTGCTTTAACAATGAACAGCAGATGGTTGGCAGAACTGGGGTTAGAATTCAGAAGTACTTGTTCTAGGGCTACATTTAGTCCACCAATCCATGTTGCCCATCTCCCTCTCAGTTCAGTGAGTTCTCGTGCCCAAAGCTGTGTGTGGGCTGTTGCTGAGCATCTAATGGTTGTTCAGCTGCTCCATTTGCTGCCACAGTTGCTTTGGAACTAATTTCTAACTCATTACTGTAAAGTGCTTTGTGAAGCCTGGAGTTTGAAAGGTGATGTGTATGAACAAATCGCAGCCTGTTTTTAATGGTGTGTTCGGACACAGGCATGTTATCTGGCCTGGACAATGGGACTGCTGAGTGAAATGAAAGGCACAATTATGGTTCCTAACATTTTTGCTGCAAGATTAGAGAATGTCAACTTTACTGGCTTTAAGGAGAGTGATTGCTGTGATGGAAAGCATAATAATACAGATCACATGCCTTGCTGGTTAAGATTTGGGTTTTCAAGAGCTGCACGTGACACTCTTTTCAAAATAGGATTACCACACAATTTTTGGGATATTGTGTATGAAGCGTGACTGATGAATAGTGCAGGACAAAGGGGAACTGCCCTGTGTGATTTGCTTTCATCTGTCTCGCCATCCCCCCTTTCCCTCTCCACCATAGGACACTGCATGTAGGTTGGGAGAATTAGGAACTGAGTCAAGATTTCTTTGTCCTATTCCTGGCGTTGCAGCACAAGTGATTTACAATAAAACTTTGGACAGAACACTTAGTTGCAGAGCTACAGATGTATATAATGCCTACCTTTGAAAGGTGCTGAGAGGGTTAATCCAGTGCATGGATGTCGGGTATGTAAGGCAGGGGAAGGGTCTGCCTTCCCAAACTGCCAGGCATAGCCCCGCCCACACTCTGCCCCAAGAGTGCCTAATATAAGTGTTTTGGGGGTGGAGTGTTGCTGCCCCCAGCGCCTGCCCTGCAGGTGCTCCAGGACTAGGGAGACCAGGCCTGGCTGCATGGTGTGCCCTCTTTCCTCCCCCAGTGCTCTGGGACTGGAGGGGCCGGGCTGTGCATTGCAGCATGCCCTGCCTCCTCCCTTCCCAGTGCTCCACTCAGCCCGGCCCAGCCCAGCCTCTCCAGCTCCGGAACACTGGGAAGGGAGGAGGCAGGGTGAGTTAACAGTGTGTGCTGGGTTTGGCGAGGCCATGCAGTGCAGTGTCTTCCACTGGGACTGGGGAGGCTGTGGCAAGCATGTGCCCACTCCCCTCTCTCTCAGTGGTTCCAAGGGCAAGTACAACTGTGGCACACTGCTCCACCTCCTGAGGGGCAGGGCCTAGCAGAAGGGGTGGAGCTGAAGGTGGGGCGAGGGGCTTACCTCCGCCAGCCCTGCCTTCACCGACCACCCACGATCCAGTGTCTATAAAAGCATTTTGAGAGCCTCTCCTGAAACACCCTATATTCTGGGAGCATTGAAATATTGACAGCTAAATAGACTATTTCACTTACTTTGTCCTAGTTTTTCACCAAATATTATCTGAGGTCACTAAACCTAGTTGTTTATTTTCCTCTCTTCTCCTAGCTGAAGCTTGAGGATCGCTCCGTGGTCCCTCGGGATGTGGTCAGACACATGAGCTCAAACGTAAGTGTTACTTTTAAAAGATCTCGATATTGTTGCATGGATATCTCAGACTAGCCAAAACACCTAAGCTGAAGTCAAATGCTCAGAAAGTATTGCATTCTTTCATTTTGTGTTGTATTAGCAGATAGTGTTATCCTTTGATTCCTCATTTCTAACCATAGTTTATCAGATGGCCTTCTCCTAAGCAGGTGAGGCTGATAATCTTACACAATTGAACAAAAAGTCTGCCTGTCCTCTGAAGTTTAAATTTAGAGGGCAAGTCTCTCTGCACACATAATGGTGAAGCCATTCCACTTAGACCATCAGAACGGCCATATTGGGCAAGACCAAAGGTCCATTTAGTCTCGTATCCTGTCTCTGGCAATGGCTTCAGAGAGAATGAACAGAATAGGGCAATTCATTGACTGATCCATCCTCTCTCATCCAGTCCCAGCTGCTGGCAGCTGGAGATTTAGGGACACCAGGAGCATGGGGTTGTCCCCCATCTTGGCGAATATGCTTTAACAAACCTGTTCTTCATGAACTTATCTAGGTCTTTTTTGAACCCAGTTATATTCTTCACAACATGCCCTGGCAACAAGGGTGACTGTGTTGTGTGAAGAAATAGGTTTTTTTAAATCTGGTGCCTGTTAATCTCATCACTTTATATGCATAACTAAGTTTGCACTCTGGAAAATATTACTTTGCGCTTATCAACATTGTTTCACCTGCCATTTTGTTGCTTAGTGATCCAGTTTTCTGAGATCCTTTTGTAACTCTTCATAGTCAGCTTCGCTTTTAACTATCTGGAGTAATTGACTATTATCTGCACATTTTTCTACCTCACTGTTCACCCTTTTTTCCAGATCTTTATGAATATTTTGAACAGCATTTGTCCCAATATAGGTCCATGCTCAAATTTGTTCTTTACTATAGTTTCAAGCAATTTGCCTCATGCAGAAGTTAAGCTTACGTGGCTATAACTGCCAGGATCACCTCTGAAGCCCCTCCCCCACCTCCGGTTTAAAAAAAAACGTAATATTACCTACCCTCCAGTCATCTGATAGTCTGATTTAAGCAGTAGATTACATATCACAGTTAGCAGTTCTGCAATTTCATATTGGAGTTCCTTCAGAACCCTTGGGTAAATACCATCTGATACTGAGTGACTTATTACTTGGGATGCAAAAGTATAACTGTTTAAATGATTAGCTAATAAGCCTGGTTTTCTTTGTTACCATTAACGTTTACATGTAGGCTCTCACCCCACTCCAGCTGCAGGTGGGAGCCAGCTGCTTCCCTGAGCTCCATGTAGCCACTGAGATTTTCTGCAGTTAACCTGGTTATCCAGTTACCTGCTTTTAAACATCCCTACTTACTACTGATTTATTGCTTTGTTCCAAAACCACCTCTATTGACGACTCAGTCTGGAACAGTTCTTCAGATTCTTCACCTAAGAGGAATGCCTCAGGTGTAGGGTGAACACTGAGGCAAAGAAATAATTTTGTTTCTCTGCAACAGCCTGATCTCCATCAAGTATTCTCTTAGCACTTTCATCGTCCAGTGGCCCCTGTTTGACAGGCATCCTTGTTTCTGGTGTAAAAAAAAAAAAAAAGTTGCTGTTAGTTTTTGTGTCCTTGGCTGGTTGCTATCAAGATTTTCTTGGCTTGCCTTATTATGCTTTTTCACTTGACTCGCCAGAGTTTGTTCCTTTTTGTTGTCCTCACTAGGATTTGACTTCTAATTTTAATAGATGCTTTTTTGCCTCTCGCTACCTATTTTATCTGCTATTTCGTCTTGGAGGTCTGTGTTCGGCTCTCTTACTATTTGTTCTTTAATTTGGGGATATACATTTCATTTGAGCCCTCTATTATGGTATTTTTAAATAGCGTCCATGCTACTTGCAGGCACTTTGCTTTTGTGATTGTTTCTTTTAATTTCCATTGTAACTTCCTCATTTTGAAATTAAATGGGATGATAGTGCATTTCTCTGGCATTTTTTGCCCTACACAGATGTCAAATTTAATTACTTGGTGGTCACTATTATCAAGTGATTCAGCTATATCATGTTGGGCACAATCTGATCCTGTGCTTCATTTAGGACTAAATCAAGAATTGGCCTCCTATTATGGGTTGCAAGCCAAACTACTCCCAAAACCAGTCATTTAATGTCTAGTAATGTTATCTTTGCATTCTGTTTGGAGGTGACACATGTCCAGTCAATATAAGGATCGCTGAAATCTGTCGTCATTATTGCATTTTCTGCCTTTGTAGGCACTTTAATCTTCTTGAGCATTTCACAGTCACTGTCTTGGCCTGGTGCTCAGTAGTATATTCCTACTGCTAAACTTTTATTGTTCTAGCATGAAATTTCTATCCATAGAGATTCTGTGGTAAAGTTTGATTCATTTAAGATTTTTTTTTCTTTAACTGTAGAATCTGTCGTTCATATGTATTTTGTATCCTGGTATTACCATGTCCTGTTGATTATCCCTATTCCACCATGTTTTTGTGATGCCCATTGTATCAGTTTCCTCATTTAGTGCCAGGCGCTCTGGTTCACCCATCTTAGGATTTATAGACTTCAAGCGTCTGAGTATAAGCACTCACATTTTGTCACTATTCAGTTGCCTGCCTTTGTGTGTTGTTTAAGCAGGACTCTCTTATGCTTGCTCCTCGAGGAAGCCAGAGGCTAGGGCTGGGGCCCTGCCTAGCACTGCAGTTGGGGATGCTGCTGTGGCACCACCTGCTGGATGCTCTGGTGCGGTGGGGGTGTTACGGCAGTGGTGCACGCTTCAAGACTTGGGCCACAGGCTCAGCAAGCTCTGTTCCTTGCCTAGCCCATGCTTGGGGGGAATGGGGACTCTGGCCTGTGACAGGAGGGTCCAGCAGAAGAGGAGATGAGCGCTGGGCTCCAGTGGGGGACAGAAGGGAGAGTAGAGATGGGACCACAAGCAGAAGGGGGGAGGGGCCAGGTGGGTAGGAAGGGGAGCTAGCCTCCCCTAACTGCTGGTCCACCCGCTGTTCATGTGCTGGAGCATTTGGAGACGGTGTCATAGGAGCTGACCCAGCATTGGGGCAGCATGAGAGCTCCCAACACCACACTGAGGATAAGGAGTAGCTCTCTCTTCCAGGGTGTGGGGTGAGATGCGTTGTTGTAAGTACGGGGAGTAGGGACAGAAGTGAAGTGGGAATCCTGCACTGGAAGAGGAAGGCACTTGTATGCATGGGTGGCAGGTTTGTATAATTTTTGGTGGTGCCCCATTAGCCACGCCTCTGGAGGTAACTCGCTCGGGGCAAGATGGACACATGACCAGAAGTAAAAGGTGTCATGTCACCCCTCTCAAAGGGCTTTTCCCACCATCCGCCTACCAACAGGGATTAGTTTGGCTCCCAACAAACCACCTGCATGCAACTATCCTACAATTGCATTAACCCAATGTGTGTGACATTAACTTGGGGGCAGAGAGCTGGGGAAAGTGTTCCCTCTGAGTCTGTCTACATTCTCGGCTTTTTGTGCAAGAACCCACAGAGCATCCACGCTGCCCGCCTGCTGTTGCGCAAGGAAATTTACAGTACAACATGGTAAGAGAGGGCGTCTTGCGCAAGAGCTACACTCTTTTCTAACAGGTGTAAGCTCTCTTGCGCAAGAGGGCAGTGTGGATGCTCAGCAGGGATTTCTTGCGCAAGAAACCCCTATGGCTAAAATGGCCATTGGAGCTTTCTTGGGCAAGAGAGCATCCACACTGCCATGGATGTTCTTGGGCAAAAGCACAGCTTGCACATGGCAGCGTGGACTTGTTCTCGCACAAGACTTCTTGCACAAGAACCCTTGCGCAAGATGTTCTTGCACAAGAAACCGCTGAGGGCAGGGCAGTGAGGAAGTCCATGGGCTGATGCGTTTAGGGGCACACGCCCGTCAGCCGGACCCAGACTGGCAGTCAGTCGGAGTCCTTAGGGCCCTGGGCTGGGGCCCATGAGTGAGGGCGGGCCCGGACCCCCCTTTTCCCCCCTCCGCGTGGGGGAACATGTCGGATGAGGAGTACTCAACGGTGAGGGGCTGGAGAACCTCGCTTACGGGAGACCTGACGTCCCAGGACGGGGATGACGCGGGCAGGTCTAGACATGGCGGACTCGCATCTTCCCATCCCCCTTTCTCCCAGATAGGAAAGGGGGAGGGGGGGTGTCAAGGCCGTCACAAGGTGGTAGAGAATGTGGGTAGCAGGAACTACCCCGCGTCCCCAGGATTAGAAAGGGAGCAAGGGAGCTCCCAGGGGTAGGCACTGAGTTAAGTTCCCCTCCTCATCCCGTCTCCTAACACCTCTCTCTTCACACCTGCCCTGCCTCTCTCCTCTGGTGCTGGTCCCTCCCCTGCAGGTGTCTGCCCTTCCGCTTCACCCCAAAATCCCCTGGCACCTGCACCTTCCCTTAGCCCTTCCCTCACTGCCCCTGCCCCCTTTGCCTTCTTTTTCCCTGATGCCCACCCCCTCACCACTCTCTGCCCCCATCCCCCTCATGCCCCTGTGCCCTCACACGACTTGCTCTATCCCCCCCTTCCTCATGCCCACCCCCTCTTTCAAACCTTCTCCCAACACCTCCTTCTCTGCCCTCTAGCCCCCAGTACCCTAATCCTCTCCTCTCCCAGCATCACCCTGTCCCCCTCCCACTGATACCTCCCCTCCTGCCCTTTTCCTCGTTGTCTGCACTTGGCCCCCTGGCATTTGTCTCTTCCCCATGCTGTCTCTTGGTGCCTTTCCCTTTCTTCTCCTGACCTGCCCCCTCCCCTCAGCACAAGCCCCTTCCTCTCCCACCCCTCCCCTACCTCTGCCTTCCAGTTTGCGGGTCAGCGGTGCTGGAGTCTGTGATCAGGCCCTGCTGCCCTGCTGTCCATCGAGGGGACATTGGATGCCAGAGTGGCCTCCGCCTGTTCCTTCTGGGGCTGCGGAGTCTAAGCATCCGCCCCGCGGGGTTCCCTGCCGGGTACCGGCTGGCCCACGCGAGAGGGGACC